GTAGGGAATAAAGTCAACACAGAACTCAATGACCTCCTCTGTTCCATAGCCCTTGGCGATGCTTCCTTCTGGGCGAGCACGGTTGTGAACATATTTCTTCAGGACTCCCATGAATCTCTCTAAGGGGAACATGTTGTGTAGGAACACAGGACCGAGAGTGAAAATCTCCTTGACTAGGTGAACTAGGAGGTGTGTCATAATATCAAAGAAGGAAGGAGGGAACATCAACTCAAAGCTGACAAGACATTGAACCACATCATTCTGTAGTTTAGCTAGATCAGTTGGATCAATTGCCTTCTGAGAAATTGCATTGAGGAATGCACATAGCTTCACGGTGGCTAGACGTACATTTGGAGGTAGAATTCCTCTTAATGCAACTGGAAGTAATTGCATCATGAGAACGTGATAGTCATGGGACTTTAAGTTACAGAATTTCTTCTCTGCAACATTTATAATATCCTTTATATTCGAGGAGAATCCAGATGGTACCTTGATGTTGTTTAAGCATTCAAACATGATTTCCTTCTCCTCTTTGCTTAGGGTGTAGCTAGCAGGACGTAAGTAATGGCGTCCATCACCGCCTTTCTCTAGATGCAAAGTTGTCTCTTTCTCTCAAACAACGTGGGTCCCGTCGTGCTTGAAATGTGTCCTTAGGCTTTCCATACACACCCATAAAGCCTAGCAGTTTCACACAAAGATTCTTCGTCAGTGCATCACGTTGATCGAGCTCTGGGACCTCTAGGACTTGCCAATAGGGTAGGTCCCAAAATATGGACTTCTTCTTCCACATGGGTGCATGACCGTTAGCGTCGTTCGGAACAGGTTGGCTTCCATGTAATTTTCCAAAGACGACTTTCACATCATTGACCATATCGAGTACATCCTCACCGTTCGGTTACGAGGCTTGGTCGATGGTCCGCCTTCCTTTAAAATGCTTGCCTTTCTTTCTTACGGGTGATTTGCGAGAAGAAATCGACGATGGCCAAGGTACACGACCTTTCGACATTTTTCAAGAATACACCTCTAATATCACCGAAGCAAAGTGTGTGCATGCATTATATCCCTTATTTGACTCGTCTCCGAAAGATTACTTAGAGCAGGCAAATCATTGATTGTTACGAACAACAATGCTCGCAGATCAAAGTGTTCCTGTTTGTACTCATCCCACACACGTACACCTTCTTTATTCCACAAAATGAGAAGTTCATCAATAAGTGGTCTCAGGTACACATCGATGTCATTGCCAGGTTGCTTCGGGCCTTGGATGAGCACAGGCATCATAATGAACTTCCGCTTCATGCATAACCAAGGAGGAATGTTGTAGATACTTAGAGTAACAGGCCAAGTGCTATGACTACTGTTCTGCTCTCCAAAAGGATTGATACCATCTATACTTAAAGCAAACCTTAAGTTTCTTGCGTCATTTGCAAACTCTGGGAATTCTCTGTTGATTGCTCTCCACTGGGACCCATCAGCAGGGTGTCTCAACATATTGTCTACCTTACGGTCTTCTTTGTGCCATCGCAACAATTTTGCATGTTCTTTGTTTCTGAACAGACGTTTCAAGCGTGGTATTATAGGAGCATACCACATAACCTTGGCAGGGATTTTCTTCCGTGGACGTTCGCCCTCAACATCACCAGGGTCATCTCGCCTGATCTTATACCGCGACGCATGGCATACCGGGCATGCATCCAATTTCTCATACTCTTTGCCATGGTACAGGATGCAGTCATTAGGACATGCATGTATCTTCTCTATTTCTAGCCTCATAGGACAGACAACTTGTTTTGCTTCGTAGGTAGTGGCGGACAATTCATTGTCCTTCGGAAGCATCTTCTTTTGAATTTTTAGTAACTCTCCAAATCCCTTGTCAGATACACTATTCTTTGCCTTCCATTGCAGCAATTCTAGTGTGGTTCCCAACTTTTTCTGCCCTGCATCACAAGTTGGGTACAACAATTTCTTGTGATCTTTTAGCATCCGTTCGAACTTGATCTTCTCCTTTTCACTTTCACATTCTCTTTGTGCGTCACGAATGACCTGAGAAAGATCATCAGTCGGCTCATCTTCTGCGGCTACCTCTTCTTCAGCTTCTCCCATTGCAGTATCATTGAAGCACGCACCATTGGGAATAATATCATTGTCGTCCCATTGTTCTTCTTCACCTTCTTCCATTACAACACCGGTTTCTCCGTGCTTTGTCCAACAAATATAGTTTGGAATGAAACCCGACTTGAACAAGTGTGAATGAAGAGTCCTTGAGCAAGGATATTCCACCGTATTCTTACATATGGCACATGGGCAGCACATGAAACCGTCGCGTTTGTTTGCCTCGGCCGCACGTAACAAAGAATGCACGCCGTCAATGAACTCTTGGGAGCGGCGATCAGCATTATACATCCAATGACGGCTCATCTGCATTACATGACATAAATACCATATTAAAACCTAGATCATAATTAATTATTTATACAACATGCGTGCCACCACAAAAGATACAAATTTATGAAAGCATCGCTACAATGTAGACAATCCCAACTACCACTAAAAGAACTAAAGCTAAAATACATTTCAGTAGCACTAGGATTTCACGACCAATCTCAACTAAAACAGACAGATCCCCCGATTGTGCAACATCTTTGGGCTTCTTCGGCTGGATCACTGCCTCATTAGCCGCCGTATCTGCCTGTTGTGCAAGATATTTTTGCACGAGTTCAACATACTCTTCCTCCCAGTAGAAGCCTGAACATCGTCCACTGCCATCCCACTGAAATTAAAACAAAAAATTAGAACTTTAATCACAACCATCATGAAAATAGGTATAAACTAACCATAATCATTAAATACGATAAAATAACTCACATTGCGATCTGGACACTTGTAGAAGATACGATCTTTGTTGGGACCCTCCTTCTTCACTCGGTACTCCATCACAATCTTCATCTCATCACGACACTTGCCGCATGGAATGAGAGGGAGGCCCGGCCTAAGTCGCTTTGGAAACCCATGAGAGGCCGAGGACCCGGAAGCAGTTGCCATCTACTCTCTATACTCATTTTTTAATACACTATAAATTTCTTCTTTTATAAACAAATAAAATTAAGAAACTATAAAATTATCTAGATCTCTAAACAATGATATTTTTAATGGTCATTGTGTTCTCGTCTTTTACTGCAGCAGGTAAGTAATTCACATGATATTTCCACAAATTAACAGAAGAATGGGAGTGTACACACATAACAGACTACTACGACGATATCGGGACGTGTGAATAAATAACCATCCGTACTAGTTGACCTTGCTTACGTGATCATCTCGGCGAGCATTTCTCCACCGGACGGCACCGTACTTGGCCATGGAAGAGCTCCAATTCTACGAGGAAGGGAACACGGTCTTCCACGACCATTGCCGCTCTCCCTCGTAGAATCAAAGCTCCTCATTGACGTCCGTTACCACTCAGCAGAGAACGTGCTCGCCAAGATGAACACGGTCCGCAAGTTCAACTAGTATGGATTTTCTATAATTTTCTAACTATTTTCTAAGTTTATATTTATATATATACTACGTTTGGGTACGGTGATTGACAGACTACTGCGACGATATCAGGACATGTGAATAAATAACCATCCGTACTAGTTGACCTTGCTTACGTGATCATCTCGGCGAGCATTTCTCCACCGGACGGCACCGTACTTGGCCACGGAAGAGCTCCAATTCTACGAGGAAGGGAACACGGTCTTCCACGACCGTTGTCGCTCTCCCTTGTAGAATCAAAGCTCCTCCTTGACGTCCGTTACCGCTCGGTAGAGAACGTGCTCGCCGAGATGAACATGGTCCGCAAGTTCAACTAGTATGGATTTTCTATAATTTTCTAACTATTTTCTAAGTTTATATTTATATATATACTACGTTTGGGTACGGTGATTGACAGACTACTGCGACGATATCAGGACATGTGAATAAATAATCATCCGTACTAGTTGACCTTGCTTACGTGATCATCTCGGCGAGCATTTCTCCACCGGACGACACCGTACTTGGCCACGAAAGAGCTCCAATTCTACGAGGAAGGGAACATGGTCTTCCACGACCGTTGCCGCTCTCTCTCGTAGAATCAAAGCTCCTCCTTGACGTCCGTTACCGCTCGGCAGAGAACGTGCTCGCCGAGATGAACACGGTCCGCAAGTTCAACTAGCTACTTTAACCTTATTTCATGTAAATATGCAAGCTTGAAGTGATTTTGAGCTCAAATTGCTTACAAATGAAAAAAACCACAATAAAGAACCATATATATTTATATAGTGAACAAAATGAGATAAGACAATGGTGAAAAATGAGAGTATGAGATTGGTAACCTTTACAACTGAAGAATCGACGAAGGAATCAAAGAAATCGACGGAGGAATCGAATAATGGATGGAAGAACAATGGAGGGAGGGAGGAAGCAAGAACACTAGTGCAGTGAGCTTCAAAATGTGCTAAGCTCGGGCTCAGGGAGGAAGAAGGAGACGGCCGGGATATAAAGGGGGACCTTTAGTCCCGGTTGGTGGCTCCAACGGGGACTAAAAGTAACTTTCCAACCTCGGGCACAGCCACGGCCCGGGAGTAGACCTTTACTCCCGGTTGGAGCCACCAACCGGGAGTAAAAGTATACCTTTAGTCCTGGTTGGTGGCTCCAACCGAGACTAAAGGCCCTGCCACCTCTGTCTGGCGTAGTAGCCGTTGGGGCAGGGACCTTTAGTCCCGGTTGGAGACACCAACCGGGACTAAAGGTATTTCTAGTCCCGGGCGCAAAAAATTTTGGGACTAGAGTCCATTTTAACCGAGGATCAAAGATCTGTTCTCTACTAGTGTAGCTCGTCGTCCAACATACATATATTTCTTGCATATACATGCATAACGACGAAAGGTTTTATTCGGCGCTACCTTTCGAATGGCATAACAATATTGATTAATCCAACAAAAATAAATAAGAATAATAATCAATTTTAATATTCTCTACATCTCTTCCTCCATGATCTCAGTGGTCGTCTTCTTGATGAGCTCCCACGCGCTTCGCACGTGCCTCTCCTCCTGCAGCGACGACCCCACCGCGAACCGCAGCACGAACTTGCCGGCGACCGCCGTGTGCGCCAGGTACGCCTTCCCGGTCCTGTTCAGCCGCTCCATGAGCTCACGGTTGACCTCCTCTGCGTCCTCCTCCGTCATGGCACCCTGTGGCCTGATCCTGAAACACACGAGCGCGAAGTTCCTCGGCACGACGACCTCGAACCTGTCGTCGGCGCGCACGGCGTCCTCGAACATCTTGGCCATGGCAACGTCGCTGCGGATGTGCTCCTGGAGCTTGGCGGAGCCGTAGGTGCGCATGACCATCCAGAGCTTGAGCCCTCGGAAGCGGCGGCCGACGCCGACCTGCATGTCCTTGAGGTCGGTGACGTTGCCGGACTCGCTGGCGTCGTTCTTGAGGTACTCCGGGTTGGTCTCCAGCGAGTCGGTGAGCCGGTGCGTGTCGCGCACCCACAGGCACGTGCAGTCGAGACAGGTGAGGAGCCACTTGTGCGGGCTCATGCTGATGGAGTCGACACGCTCGACGCCGTCGAGGTGGTGCCGGAACTCCGGGCAGATGCACGCGCTGCCGGCGTAGGCAGCGTCGACGTGCACCCAGGCGTTGAACACGGCGGCGACGTCGGCAATGGCTCCCACAGGGTCGACGGCGTTGGACGACGTGGTGCCGACGGTGGCGCAGACGTAGGTCGGCACGAGGCCGGCGTCGACGTCGGCCTGCATGACCTCGAGCAGCCTCGCCGGGTCGAGGGCGTAGTCCGTTTCCGGGCCAGTGGGGATGGAGCGGATGTTGGCAGGGTCGAAGCCGGCGAGACGGCACGCCTTGAAGAAAGTGGAGTGCGTCTGGTCCGCGGCGTACACGGCCAAGCGCGGCAGGCCGGACACGCCCTGGGATCCACTCCGGCGCAGGGCAGCATCACGCGCGGCGACGAGCGTGACGAGCATGGCCTCGCTGGTGGTTCCCAGGATGACGCCGCCGCCTGTGCCGCGCCCAGCGGCGCCGGTGCGGTTCATGAAGCTGGACGGCAGGCGCAGGAGCTGCGCGAGCCAGTCGAGCGCGAGGACCTCCATCTCGGTGGCGGCGGGCGCGGCCTGCCACGTGAAGCCGACGGTGTTCATGGCGGAGGCGATGAGGTCGCCGGCGATGGCAGCGGCGCTGTTGGTGGACGGGAAGAAGGCGAAGAAGTTGGGGCTGGCCCAGTGCGTCATCCCCGGACGACGGAGGCGGTGAGCTCCTTCATGGTGACGTCGAACGGGGCGGATGACGTGGGCGGAGCGGACCTCAGCTGGTCCCGCAGGTACCCTGGCTTGACGTCGGGAAGCACGGGCAGTGACTCCACGGACTTGTAGTAGTCGGAGATGAAGTCGACGGCCTTGTGGAGGTAGGAGCGGACGTCGTCGGGGTTCAGCGGCTGGAAGTCGCTGGTGGCGTCGTCGCCGAAGGCGGAGTAGGCGGTAGGGTTGGTGTCCAAGCTGCCCATAGCTTATGGATCGCTTAACACAGCTGGGAAGTTGAAGCTAGAGATCGAGCTACGAGGCTGCAGCAGACAGGTCACTGACAGGTCGATGGCTGAGCTCGCTCAGTGGCTCGGAGAGGTTTGGTGGGGAAGAAGGCGGTAGTTAGGGTTGGGCTATATAGGCATGCAGATGGAGGAGGAGGAGGAGGAGGAGGCAAGGCAGCAAGTCGGTGGCGTGGGGACGAGGGCGTCGGCGGGGTCGTACGTGCGACTGCTGCTGGGGGGAGACGAGGTTGGTAGGAGAAGAGAATTGGCTCTGGTTTCCGGACTCCGGCTGTGCCAAGGCGCACGAGCTAGTCCAGTCAGGCGGTCAATTGCTATAAGCGTGTCGTCGTGTCGCGCGCTGGCATGCCATCTCCGGTGACCCGGCGTGCCTGTATGGACTAGTACACGTGTCAGCTCTATCGTGATAGATCCCTATATTTGTCCTAGCGATGGTTCATCCTCGAATCCATTTATGTGTTTTATTTGGAATTTGTTTCTGTTATTAGAGAGTCTTGGTAGGTAGGGTAGAACTTCTCCATTTGTCACTTTAATTTCCCTTGCGTGCCAATTTTACTCCTACTACTTTTAGTATGATGAATACTTCACTTCTGTTGTAAATATAAAACTAGAGGTGGCTCATGGTCACGGCTATACCCTCCTTAACGATGTTTATCTAGAGCATCTCCAATAGCTCACAAAAAACACATCCCCAATAAGATAGTATTAGTGAGCACCAATACTGTCTTTTGATCTATTGGGAAATATATTTTTACACATTACCAATACCCATCACCCGTTCTCCTTTTTTCTTCTATCTCTTTTTCAATTATATATTTGGTTGTATGGTAATTAGTGGTGTGGCAATCTAATTGTTCAAAAAGGGAAATATCGAAATGTAGGCCCGTAGCGTTAGCACAGGCAATATAATTATCTATATGTAGGTGAACTTTGTCTAATTTTCTTCTTCTGATCTTTGAACATTACATTCTCGTACAATATATTATAACAAGTTACGACAACCGGTAACCTGCCAACAGCTTATTATTAAAAGAGGACATGTAAAAATACGAATCTATTGACAAATCTTTTGTGCACTAAACATGCACATATTTTGACTCATCAATGTCAGAGTTTTTAAACTATATATGTTTAACTTTTTTGAATTTTTTGTTTTGTTTTTTGAAAGGACAGCAAGAGAATTGCGTCGTGATTTTTATTTGACAAGAAAAAGGGAAACAAAAATATTACAAGAAACACCACGGGCAAGCGCCCTGACCAGACGACCAGTACTACGAATGAACAAAACCAACAGAGTAAAACAGCCTCTGCCCCAACTAGAAAAACAAAAGAAAAAGGAAACGGCCACCACACTAAAAAAACTAAGAGGAGCTGGCTTTTGGTCGAGTCGCAAAGGATGTCATCTTTGATCAAGACCGCTCAATGAGATGGCTGCACATCCTTATGATGGAAAGTTCTTCGGTTTCTTTCCTTTCAAATGTTCCACCAAACATAAATTAGAGTCCCATCAAAGGAAGCCTTTTGAGTTTTGTTAAGTTTGGCTTCACATTTCCTTCAATATTTGTCGATTGAACCATCTGGTGGAATGTTACGAATTTGGCCCAAATTGAACCAGTTCTGGATTTCGTGTGGCCAATATTTCGTGTATTGCGGGAGATTATGGGATCTGCTGGGGTATCTCTCTCAATATTTAAAAATGGCACTATTGGTGACCACCAATATCGTCCTATTCAAGATAAATTATTGGTGAGCTGTTGAAGATGCTCTTAGAGCCCTTGCAAATTGTTTAATGTCTAGAATACCTAAGCCTCCAAGTTGTTTTGGGAGGTAGATTGTCGACCAGTTGATTAGCGAGTGACCCGGTTGACTTTTTTTTGGTATTTGTCTGCGCCATTGGAAACTTTTTTGAATTATATCATTGCCTCACATTTTCAAATTAGAGAAAATAATATATATTCCTCCTTTGGACCAAATATGTTTAATTGGCTTTATTATTCCTCCTTTGGGCAAACAACAAAGAATCAAATTTCTCAATCCAAGTATATATAACATGCATATAAATAATTAAATAAGTACTAAATTCGTTCTAAATTATAGTTCAGTTTGACTTTTTTGACCTCAAGTTTGATCACTCATTTTATTCAAAAAATTGTGCAAACTATCACTTCTTTTGTTGCGGCTTGCTTTATTAACAAAAGTTTTTCAAGAACGACTTAAATTTGACTATATTGGCACAAATTTTTTGAATAAGACAAGTGGTCAAACTTGGGGTACTATTTAATACGCTACTACAATAATTTGAAAAATAGGGAGTACTATTTTAAACTTGGGGTACTATTTAATACGCTACTACAATAATATGAAAAAGGGGGAGTACTATTTTATATGCTACTACAGTACTACTATCAGTACTACTCAGCACCGTTCTGTTCCTGCATGATCTCAGTGGTGGTCTTGTTGATGAGCTCCCACGCGCTCCGGACGTGCCTCTCCTCCTGCAGCGAGGAACCCACGGCGAACCGCAGCACAAACCTGTCGCCGACCACCGTGTGCGCGAGGTACGCCTTCCCGGTCCTGTTGAGGCGCTCCATGAGCATACGGTTGGCCTCGTCAGCGTCCTCCTCGGTCATACCACCACGGGGCTTGATCCTGAAGCACACGAGCGCGAAGATCCTGGGAACGACGACCTCGAACCGGTCGTCGGCGCGCACGGCGTACTCGAACATCTTGGCCATGGCGACGTCGCTCCGGATGTGCTCCTGGAGCTTGGCGGAGCCGTAGGTGCGCATGACCATCCAGAGCTTGAGCCCCCGGAAGCGGCGGCCGACGCCGACCTGCATGTCCTTGAGGTCGGTGACGTTGCCAGACTCGCTGGCGTCGTTCTTGAGGTACTCCGGGTTGGTCTCCAGCGAGTCGGTGAGCCGGTGCGTGTCGCGCACCCACAGGCACGTGCAGTCGAGACAGGTGAGAAGCCACTTGTGCGGGCTCATGCTGATGGAGTCGACACGCTCGACGCCGTCGAGGTGGTGCCGAAACTCCGGGCAGATGCACGCGCTGCCGGCGTAGGCAGCGTCGACGTGCACCCAGGCGTTGAACACGGCAGCGACGTCGGCAATGGCTCCCACAGGGTCGACGGCGTTGGACGACGTGGTGCCGACGGTGGCGCAGACGTAGGTCGGCACGAGGCCAGCGTCGACGTCGGCCTGCATGACCTCGAGCAGCCTCGCCGGGTCGAGGGCGTAGTCCGTTTCCGGGCCGGTGGGGATGGAGCGGATGTTGGCAGGGTCGAAGCCGGCGAGACGGCACGCCTTGAAGAAAGTGGAGTGCGTCTGGTCCGCGGCGTACACGGCCAAGCGCGGCAGGCCGGACACGCCCTGGGATCCACTCCGGCGCAGGGCGGCGTCACGCGCGGCGACGAGCGTGACGAGCATGGCCTCGCTGGTGGTTCCCAGGATGACGCCGCCGCCTGTGCCGCGCCCAGCGGCGCCGGTGCGGTTCATGAAGCTGGACGGCAGGCGCAGGAGCTGCGCGAGCCAGTCGAGCGCGAGGACCTCCATCTCGGTGGCGGCGGGCGCGGCCTGCCACGTGAAGCCGACGGTGTTCATGGCGGAGGCGATGAGATCGCCGGCGATGGCAGCGGCGCTGTTGGTGGACGGGAAGAAGGCGAAGAAGTTGGGGCTGGCCCAGTGCGTCATCCCCGGGACGACGGAGGCGGTGAGCTCCTTCATGGTGACGTCGAACGGGGCGGATGACGTGGGCGGAGCGGACCTCAGCTGGTCCCGCAGGTACCCTGGCTTGACGTCGGGAAGCACGGGCAGTGACTCCACGGACTTGTAGTAGTCGGAGATGAAGTCGACGGCCTTGTGGAGGTAGGAGCGGACGTCGTCGGGGTTCAGCGGCTGGAAGTCGCTGGTGGCGCCGTCGCCGAAGGCGGAGTTGGCGGTAGGGTTGGTGTCCAAGCTGCCCATGGCTTATGGATCGCTTAACACAGCTGGGAAGTTGAAGCTAGAGATCGAGCTACGAGGCTGCAGCAGACAGGTCGAAGGCTGAGCTCGCTCAGTGGCCCGGAGAGGTTTGGTGGGGAAGAAGGCGGTAGTTAGGGTTGGGCTATATAGGCATGGAGATGGAGGAGGAGGAGGCAAGGCAGCGAGTGGCGTGGGGACGAGGGCGTCGGCGGGGTCGTACGTGCGACTGCTGCTCGGGGGGAGACGAGGTTGGTAGGAGACGAAAATTTGCTCTGGTTTCCGGACTCCGGCTGTGCCAAGGCGCACGAACTAGTCCAGTCAGGTGGTCAATTGCTATATGCGTCGTCGTGTCGCGCGCTGGCATGCCATCTCCGGTGACCCGGCGTGCCTGTATGGACTAGTACACGTGTCAGCTCTATCGTGATAGATCCCTATATTTGTCCTAGCGATGGTTCATCCTCGAATCCATATGTGTTTTATTTGGAATTTGTTTATGTTATTAGAGAGTCTTGGTAGGTAGGGTTGGACTTCTCCATTTGTCACTTTAATTTCCCTTGCGTGCCAATTTTACTCCTACTACTTTTGGTATGATGAATACTTCACTTCTGTTGTAAATATAAAACTAGAGGTGGCTCATGGTCACGGCTATACCCACCTTAACGATGTTTATCTAGAGCATCTCCCATAGCTCATCAAAAACACATCCCCAATAAGATAGTATTAGTGAGCACCAATAGTGTCTTTGGGATCTATTGGGAAATATATTTTTACACATTACCAATACCCATCACCAGTTCTCCTTTTTTCTTCTATCTCTTTTTCTCCCACACGGTGTTCTCTCTCACATGGTCTTCTTTGTCGCCCCTCGCAATCTTCGTCTTCTCAGTCGCCGCGATGCCCTCTTCTGCCGCTTCACAACCACACCGTCCTCCACTATGGCCGCTCCACAACTGTGTCGCCCCTCGACTGTGGCCCCTTTCTGCCTCAATCACCTCT